AAAAATAGAAAGAATTAACTAAAGATATTGAAGAACAAAATTTAACAAAAGATGAAATTTTAGTTAAATATAATAGTAATATTAAAACATTAACAGCAACAACTAAAGAAATTGAAGATGTTTATAATGCTTTTTAAAATATAAACAAAAGACCAATGCATAAAAGATGTTAGAAAACTTGCAATATTTACATTTATGGTTTTCCTAGAACAGGAAAATTATATCTAGCTCAAATATTATTTCTAGATGCATATAATAAATCAAATGAAGATAGAAAATGGTATCCGAACTTTAACAAAAATAATGAACATGATTTAGTAATTTATAATGAATTTTTTAGAAGTGATCTTAAATATACAAAGTTTTTAAATTTATTAGATAGACGAGATTTTTCAGTTCAATTTAAAGGTAGTAATGTAAATTATACACCAAAAGTACAAGTCTTTACAGCAAATTCATCTTTAAGAGAACAATATACTTATCATGAAGATATACTATTTGTATAATATAGTAATGGATATAAAGTAACAAACAGAAAATATTACTCAGCAGCAAGTGAACGATTTGATTATATAATTGAATATTTTAAATTTAGAGATAATAAGATCTGGTGATCTTAGTATAGTAGTTAGGTTGTCAGACTGCTATGCAAGAGGTCTAGGATTCAAATTCTACTGTATACAGAATTGAATAATTACCTAGATATCTGTATTCAACTTACGGTAAACTCTGCTCGTTTCTGGAGTTGTAACCCTGTAAATCACATTGCACTAATGCTAATCGAGTATTGGAAGTATGACGAAGCGTTTAGCGAGATATAATATTATATGAATAAATCTTGATAGGATCTACGAGCAGGGGACCTGCATGGTGGAAATCCCAAGTAAGGTGAAGTAGTACAAATTTCAACAGTCATACCAGTTAACGTCTAATCTGAGAAAGGAAATCTACATACGGAAAGATCAGTGAAATAGATACAAGTAAGTCCTGAATACAGAAGGATCGATGAAACAGGTACAAGTAAGTTTATTACATGAGGTCATACGGCAACACCAACTTGGCTTAGTGGCTAACTGGATTTGGGAGGATCTGTCTTGTGTGATATTCAGCAGCAAAGTAGGCAATACCAAGCAACAGATTTGAGAGGATCTACTTTATATGATATCTGGAGGCACAGATGACTAACTTAGTGGAATACTACAGTAGGAACCAGGTTTGTACAAATATCGAACAAGGGTATATGCAAGCTAGATTGGGATATAGTATAGCATAGTTGAGTACCACAATACTTATCGATTTGGAAGTTGGTAAAAGGGTTCCTGAGATGAGCCTAGGCTTCGAATTATAAAGTTTGTAGATATATGTCATCTTGGGTATCTTCCTGGAGAAGTAGCACGAGGTTAAGCTGGCTTGGTATAAATAGATAGAAACGAGTAAGTCATAGGGCCAGAGGGTTTAAATAGGAAATCTTCAAATAGATTTCAGGTATCGCAACTAGTGTAGAACCTTCAGGCGGACTACTTAAATAGACAATCTAAAGTT